ATAGGGTGAATACATCTCATTACAATGATTTACTGGTAGTCTCGAAACCCTACTTTCTTACGAATACTTATCTTGTGACGTGGCAAGCAAGTTGCCGCCGCCTTTGTTGGCTGCGTCCCTCTGCTTTACGTCGCTTCTGGGTCGGGCCAAATGATCCGCCAACGCCGAGCTCGGCAACAGAGCCTTTGCCGGGCGTGTTAGGGAAGGGAAGGGGATAGTCTTCTGCGTCGTGGTCGCAGTCGAGTCGCGAGCCCACCTCGTCACATGAACTTCACCAACATCAACATCAGCATTAGTATCGCCTCTCACAATGCTCTCGTTAGTCACCTGCTGATAGCTCTTTATGTCCTTTCCCAATTCACCGATTGCCTTGCCGCCGTCCTGTGCGTGCGGACTTGAGATCCTCTGTCTATCTTATCTCCGAAGTTGCTCTTTATTTTTCTACTTTTCACCCACCCACCATTTATGCGTGTGTCTGTTTAACTATGCCTGTTGTGTGTAGGCTTGTGTTTACCTGTTTCTGGGTCATTGGGTGGCCAGAGCCCGGAATCATTCTGCTGTAGCTGGGCTCTGATTGTTGGAGTGAGGAGTGAAGATGGGGACGCCAGAGTAATGGGACCCGGGCAGAGTGGGCCAATTTTTTCCGATAGTAGTTGCATCATCATCATCATCCTCGCTCCGTAAACTCTCGCCAACAGGGCCACTTGGCGACCCAGTCAAATAGCGTTTTTAGGCGTGTGTAAATGCGTCTGTCCACATGAATATGTACATTTATGTGTGTTTAACGGGAGTGTCTCCTGCATTACATTTCATATGCCTGTATGTGAGTGGCGGCATAGACATGACGCCAACATGTCGCTGGGCCATCTCCGCGCTTGGGAAAGTGAGTCATTGGCCAAGCCCAGACAGCTCATCTTAAAGCCGATTTCCGCCAGATTTGTCTGACTTAAATCTCTACTTTGCCAGCATCCATCACCCTCGGACCCAATGGGTCTAGCTGCTACACCGGCCCCACTCATCCCATACACTAAAGCACTGCCGCACTTTTCTTCCCCTCTTTTTCATATTCTTATGTGCACACATACACACACACACACACACACACACAAGTATGCATGCATGTGCACACCCACAAGCCAACTACACACTTGCGCAAACACACATCCGGGCACACATACACACGCATACACATGAAACATAATAAGCCCACAGTCGCCAGACGTAGGCATAGCCACGGGTAATCACATACAGATGCGCAACAATGGCCATGTGTTTAACAACTCCTGCTCCTCCATTTTGATAGCTCTGCCGTGTTCCGTTTATTTTGACAAACAAGTGGGAACCTTTTTCTTCTCTCTTCCCAATCCGCACTAGAAGCAATCACAGATGCTATTCAACTTTTTGTGCGGTAATTCCAACTAAAAGCTAAATTGATGAAGTTTATGAAAAAACCAGGTCTCATATTTCGCGATTGAAGTGGTCATATAAATTCTGAAACGGTTGATATCAGAAATGGACTACTCACCTGAATAGTCTGTGTGGAGGGTTCAGCTGGTTGTATGAGTTTTGGAGACAATAATCTGAGCTTCAATAAAAAGTAGCCTTTTATATTTCAACAGCGGGCAGAAAAGGACGCACATTCATAATAAAGTTGAAAAGTAAATATTTTTTACAGATTCTTGAATGTGCCACTGGGGATTTATGAGAGGCAATCCTGCATATTTCTCCCCACGGCCCTTACATGCCTTCAAGTCGGGACTAAAGTTAGAACTAGGTGACCTTTCTTCGTCGTTGTCTCCGTCTCGACTATGCATTCTTGACCAAGCATCGTGGAAGTACTCTCAAAAGGAGAAATGGCTACATGCTGGAATCTTCCAGTTTCGAAACTGGTGTATATTGTTTAATGAGGGCTGCGGAGTTGGAAAATACCAAATTTCCTCTTCTAGCTCATGCAAAAAGGTGAAGACGAGAAATACGATCGCATCGCCTTGGCTGATGAATTAAAAGTCACGCACTTGGGAAAGAATTTGGGCGTCTGTGGGGCCGAGAAAGAAAAAGAGGATGGTTTCTCTGGAGTTGCCAGTGTGTTCAGATAGACGACCTCGTTATAATAGTGGACGTGGTTGATCGCTTCGATGTTTAAGGCTTTGTTAGTTGGCAAGTAGAGCTTCAAAACGTTTCATATATTCGTTATTTGACTTAGCGACGCTCAGATAAGACTTCGCTCTGCCATCTATTGGGGCCTGACTTGATAATCCGTGGTGGCTAGACATGGACACAGATTGTAGACACTACAGAAATTATTATACTTTTCTTTATTTAATTGCCAACAATTTTTAAAAATTAAATCTACGTTTTATCGAGTCGGCATTATCCACTTGGACAATTTTGACGGTTGCATTTATTGTTAATGCTGGAAGTTGGCATTGAACTGTCGTCTTCTGCATATGCATAGGACAGTTTACCATACATCTTCTAAACCATTCAGGTTTGGCTTGGCGAGACTTCGAGGCATATATTCCCTGCTGCATCATCTGCCGTTGTAGTCAAGTCTTCGTTATAATTGGGGTTCACGACTAGGGCTAGGCTTAGTGCATGAGAAGTT